AACTCTCTTCTTTTGTTGCTTTTAAGATTCTCTCTTTATCTTTAACTGTTGGCATCTTAATTATTGATGTGTCTTGCTGTGGTTCTCCTTGGGTCCAACTTGTTTTGGACTCTCTGTGTTTCCTGAACTTGCATGTACATTTCCTTCACTAAATTAGGGAAGTTTTCCTTCATTATTTTTTCAAATAAATTTTCAGTTTCTTGCTTTTCTTCTCCTTCTGGCATCCTTATGATTCAGATGTTGGCACTTTTGGAGATGTCCCAGAGTCTTCTTATTCTCTCCTTGTTTTTTTTGGTTTGTTTTTTCTTCATTCTGTTCTGGTTGAATGTTTATTTCTTCCTTATGTTCCAAATCATTGATTTGAATCCTGACTTCCTTCCCTTCACTGTTGGTTCTCTGTGGATGTGCCTTTATTTCACTTAGTATAGCCTTCATTTCTTCCCTTATGTTTTTGCCCTACTCAATGATTTCTCTGAGCATCCTTATCACCAGTGTTTTGAACTCTGCATCTGATAAGTTGGTTATCTCCATTTTGTTTAGCTCTTTTTCTGGGGTTTTGTTCTGTTCTTTCATTTGGGCCATATTTCTTTGTCTCCCCAACTTGGCAACTTCCCTATGTTTGTTTCTATGTATTAGATAGAGCTGCTTTGACTCCCTCTCTTAGCATACCTGTTAAGTTGTGAGGGGCAGAGCTTTAGATATTTGCCAGGGCGGGGCAACCCTCTTGATTGCTTTGTGGCACTGTGTCGGGGGAGGGGTTGGAAAGGGGACAGTGCCATTGATTGGTCTCTTGAGGTTTGCTCTGCACTCACCCCATTTCCAGCCACTTCACCCACTTCCCGTATGCAACTGGCACCATTCTAGCTGTTGTCCTGGTGATGATTCCCAGAGTGGGTGGGTTTGCACACATTCTAGCACTGTGTGGGCCCTTTAAACTGACTCTCCTGGGAAACTGGCAGTTTCTTAAGCTGCCCCAATCCCCACAGGTTTTTGCAGGCAGTAGTTGTGAGGCTTTATCTTCCCTGTGCTGGAACCCTGGGCTGCGTGGTCTGGCCTGGGGCAGGGATCTCTCACTCCCAAGGTATCCCTGCCAATTTGTATCCACCACACGAAAATGTGGGGCCATCCATTCCACCGCCACTGCCTCTCCTCGCTGCACCTCGAACAACCTCCTCCAGCTTCCCATCTCCTCCCCTCCTTCCAGTCTGGATGAATGTGGCTTGTTTAAATCCTTAGCTGTTGGACTTCCATACAGTTCGATTTTCTGGCAGTTCTGGGTATTGTTTTGAGATTGGGTGCGATTCTTCTTGTGGTTGTGCAAGGAGGCAAAGCGCGTCTACCTATGCCTCCATCTTGACCGGAAGCCCTGCATTGTTTTTCTGAAAACTGTTTGTGATAATGGGTATGCTCACACACTGACAATGTCAAGCTCTGAACGTTAGCCTGCTTTTGTTATTTCACGCTGCCAGTGGGCTTTTAAAAGTTCAATTTAAAGCCTGTTATTGTTTCATTTGTCCTGTTTGTTGCAAATAATATATACTATTTATTGGAAAGATTGTGTATTTGGAACTGGGCAGCCTGGGTTTGCAGTGTAGCGTCCATTCATTATCTGGGACTTTGGACATGTTAACCAGTGTGGGTTTGGTTTCCTTGCCTATGCAAAGTGGGTAATATGTTCCTGAAAGGGTTATTACAGAGTTAGTAATGAAGGTAAAGGCCTAATAAAGGATGTCTCCTGTTCTACAAATTTAGTTAAAATATGAGCTATAAAAGCAGTGATTCAAATACATGCAATTATGGTCCCTATTTTTGCCTCAGTGCAATTAGTGTCAGTAATTATTTATGCCAACAAATACTAGCTGTTTATACCTGGCCTTCTCAATGATTTGGAGGTATAGATTCATATAGCCCTTAAACAGCTGTTTGAGCCTGTAGTGGTTGGTTCCACATCTGTATAATATATCCAGCATTTAATATCAGGGTTGATGAGGGCTCTCCTATTATAAAGTTTAAAAACTAGAGAACATTTTTATGCCTGGAAGTTGTATTTTATATCTTCTTATGGCTATATCACATTTAAAAAACTTTAGTTTGAGTAACAGGCATTAAAGACTTAGGCTTTTTAGGGAGAAGCTTTCCAGATGGAAAAGCAATCACAAACAAATTCCTTCCATGAGCAGAATGGCCACAGAAGCTGTATATTTGTATGTATACATTTATTTATTGATTATTGCTTGTACTAAACTGTTTTTTATTAGTTACCCAATGACATAATTACCTCTCAGCTGTTTTCAGACACAAGGGTAAAGATTAGGCTCTTTCAAAGTGGGATTCATCATATTCATGAATAGAATCTGGGTGAAACTTGACCTTGATTTTGAAAATACTCGTATCAAAAGAATGACATCCACAAGGCCCATTTAAAGTTTTTGGTCTGCAGTTGGTCTCCTCCAGCATGGGCTGGGTCAGGGCACAGCTCCTGTAGTGCGTCATCCAAGCCTCAGTGTAGGGATCCAGCATCAGTTACAGCCTCTTTGCTGAAGGTCAGCAAGGACCTTCGTGAAATAACTGAGTTCTCCTGTCCCCTGAAGAGCCCAGCCAGTCCATTCTGTTGATGTGTATTCAATGGAAACCATTTTCTTGGTTAGGGTAGTGTGGACAGGGAAAGGAGAATCTGCAGGCTGGGGCTGAGGGAATGAAATGGCACATCTTGGCTTTCCAATAGACCGCACTGTACACAGTTGAGGTTGAACTGTCCTTCACCCTATTTGTGCTGATTTGTATTGCTCCATAAGGATTCCCAATTTATTTGTTATACTTTTGTACTTAATCTTATGCAGGATAAAAATACTCTTCAGGGGGTTTCTCTCTCTTCAATCTCTTATCTATCTGAAGTTCTGATATTGGGAAGCTGTGTTTTATTGTAAGTAAATCCTCAGTTTTAAAACAAATGCAGGATTAGCAAGAGTGGTAAGAGTGGTGAGAATCCAGAAGCAAACTGAATGACAGGAGGAGAACTGAGAATTTAGGGTGAAGTTTTGTAGAGGTTTTTTTTCACCTTGAGCCTCCATATTAATTGAGCAAAGCAAATGGGAATGACTGTATATATACTATTCTGGAGGCATTTAAATCATCAGTTATGAATCAAATCAGGAAAATTCCTAGCATGCTTTGCTTAACCTCCTTCCATCTAAATTGCTTCTTGTTAAAATATTTTATAATACTTAAGTAGGATTTTTTAAATCCTCACCCAAGGATTTATTTTGATTTTAGAGGAAGGGGGAGAGAGAGAAAATGAGAGAGAGAGAGAGAGAGAGAGAGAGAGATGTGCGAGAAACATGGATGGGTTGCCTCCTGTATGTACCCCCACCAGGAATTGAACTCACCACGAAGGTAGTGCTGTGACCAGAAATCGAACCTGCAACCTTTTGGTATATGGTACAGCCCTCCAACCAACCAAGCCACCTGGCCAGGGCTTCAGTAGAATTTATATCTCATGTATTGTAGCCATGTCTAGGGGCTTGGGAAAAAAATTTTTATAATTAGACTACAAGACTGGAACAAAGCAAAGGGAAAATTATGTCTGATTTTGGTCATCTTTATGATTTGGTCTTTCTCTGTGTTAACTCGTGTTGTGTATTCACTCCACAAATATTTATTGATGGCCTCTAGGGCTCACACTACTCTGGGTGCTGTGAATGCAAAGAAGAATAAGACACTCAAAATGTCTCCCTTCGTGGAGCATACCTTTTAGTGTGGGTGACAGATGATACATTGATGGCGATAAGAGGTGGAAGAAAATAGAGCAGGCAAAGGACAACAGACGGTGGGGCTGGGGGGCAGTGAGGTGGTCAGCAAATGCATTGCGTGCCTTCCAGATTATGAGAAAGGAGCTTTGCTAAGTGCTGGGAGGAGCGCGAAGTGCAGAGGGCCTCACAGGCGAAAGGCCTGAGCAGTCCTCTGCTCTGTGGGACCTGAGAGAAGGGGGACGCCTCAGGGATCCTGGGGTGGCCTTTGAAGAATTTTTGTGTGTGATGGGAAGCCCTGGAGGGTTTGAGTATGGGAGGAGGTTGAGTTACATATTAAAAAGATAACTCTGGGGAGAGAATGGACTATGGAGGAGGAGAGGGTGAGAGGGGAAGCAGGGGGTCCCATGTGATGAACTCCCTGTTGTGCAGCTGTCCCTTGAGAGGGGTGGAGGGCATGGCTCCTGGGAAGAGAGCACCCCCGAGTATTTCCATGTTAGGCCGGCAGCACCGGGCTGGCTGTAGAATGGGAGGAATGCAGGACGGGAGCCAGGGACATTACCTGGGTTTTTCCTGTATCTAGAGGGTCTCATATTGCCAGCAAAGTAAAATGGAGGTGGGAAATAAAGGATAGGTGAATGAAAAAAAAAAACGCTGTGTGTGATATAAGGGTGACTTGAAACAATGCAAAAGGTTCTGTCTTTAGAATTGGAAATCATCTAGTCAGTGCTGAGATTTGTTTTGTGGAAAAGGATTTTAGAGACATGGGCAGGTATGCTCTAATTTCAGGGCAGTCACAGTTATGATTTCACTAAAGTTTACATGCTTTGAAGGCAGGGTCTGTCTGATTCACCTTTGAATGTGGATTGTGGCTTAGAGACAGGGTTAATGTTCGGTTTGAATCTAAAGGTTTAATTATCTGCAAAATTATTTCATTCACGATTGTGATTATGGAAGAAAATGTTGGAAATGGAATAAATATTGATAGGCCACAGTGAATAATCCAGGCTGGATTTTAGTTTCTGGATCCAGAAGATTTGAACAGACATCTGGTGATATTCTCTCATGTAAGAATTACCAGAGGTCCCTGTGCCATATCACACAGGTGTGGCCATAAGCCGATGAGTTAGTGTACATAGAGTTAATATTTAGTATCATTTAGCAGGGTGGAGGGAGGGCATGCTTTTTTTTTTTTTTTTTTTTTTTTTTTTGGACGTACTTGGCTTTTAAATCTGTTCCATCTGATTCATGTAGGATGAGCTCGATGAACTCCGGGCTGAAATGGAGGAGATGAGGGACAGTTATTTAGAGGAAGATGTTTACCAGCTGCAGGAGCTTCGGCGAGAACTGGACCGTGCTAATAAAAACTGCCGAATCCTGCAGTACCGCCTCAGGAAAGCCGAGCAAAAAAGTCTGAAAGTGGCAGAGACTGGTCAAGTGGATGGTGAACTTATCCGAAGTCTGGAACAGGACTTAAAGGTGAGCGAGTGGGGCTGATGGGACGTGCCTTCCTAGAAGGAGCTGCTGCAGGTGGGGTCACAGATCTGAAAATGCAGCCTTCAGACACCACTTCCATGGAGTCCTAATGTTCTGTTTGTGTTTTCCTCTTTCTTTCAACAGATTTTAGTATGAACGCTTTTTGTTCACTGTGTGTTCAAAGGTTCATAGGGTGTGTATAGTCATGTCTTTGATGCCCCAAGATTTAAATCTGTCATATGAACTGGAATCTTCAAACTTAAAAGAAAAAGAAAGTAGAAGAATCATAGTAATAGATCTATAATGAAAAATAATTAATACTGGCAATTGGTTTGGCAACTGTATGTAAATTATACAGAAACTCCTTCTAAAGATCTGAAGTATTTAAAAAAAATCTATCGATTATCAATTCAGTTATAGCCAAAGACCTCTCTTAAGATTTGACCATAATCACTTAACATTTTTATTGTTATTTAACTTTCTAGGACATGGAAAACCTGACATTACCATAATCCAAATGAGTCTTCTATAGTGTAGTGATGATTTAACTGAAGGAGAAATAGGATCATAACTGATTGTTGAAAGTATCTTTGAGAAACATTGACAAAAATGGGAATGAGTTGAAGAAACCCTAGACTTTAAACCACTTGCTCTCTCCATGGCTATCATGGCTTTTCTCATGCCCTGATTATCAAATCATTCATCTGGAGATGAATTATATATAATGTCTTCCTATTATGGGAGTACTTATGAAACCTCATTTAGCCTTTCATTATGATAGCAGGGAAAGAATCTTTGTAATTTTATCAACTTTATAAACCGCTTATAAAATGTCATTTGATGTGATATAAGGGTGATTTATATCTCTTTTGAAAAATCTTTCTCATTTCATTTTAGAAAGTAAAAATGTTTAACTGCTTTTAATATTCAATTATTTTACCACAGGAGACAATTTAAAAGTTGACTACATTAAACATCTACTACAGATTTATTTTGTTTTTTTGGTTTTTTTTTTTTAGCATATAGTATAGTATTACTTAGGGAACAGACATATTTGTGTTTTTTAAAAAAATTTAATCTTGTATTTTTTCCATTACTATTTAGTCCCCTTATAGCTCCCTCCTCCCAGCAGTCACCACACTTTTATCCATGTGAAATGTTTATTTTTATTATTATTACTATTTTTATTTCAAATTTATCACTTAAAGCATCTTCACCTGAGCAGAATTAACATTCTTGGTGTTATCCTATCAAGGAAATAGGGCTATCCAAAGTGGCGTTTTATTTTTTTATTTTATTTTTTTTAAGTTTTTTAAAAAAGATTTTATTTATTTATTTAGAGAGAGGGGAAAGTAGGGAGAAAGAGAGAGAGAGAGAGAAACATTGATGTGAGAGAGAAACGTCAATTGGTTGCCTCTCACATGAGCCCCAACATGGGACTGAACCCGAAATCCAGGCAGGTCCTCTGACTGGGAATCGAACTGGCAACCTTTTGCCTTGAGGGAGAATGCCCAATCAATTGAGCCACACTGGCCAGGGCTAAAGTGGCATTTTAATCAATATAAAAGCTGTATTCTTCCTCATAATGTGGGTATAACATTTTAATCTAATACCCTCCTTTAAATATAAGTTTGTTAATATTGGATAAGGTCTTTGCTCTGTGGTGTAATACCATTATCACTCAATGATTGTGTCTCAAAAGTTGTTTGAATGTAACCTTAGCACACAGAAGGCTTCATATCCTGATGACTGTCTCTGCAGGTAGCCAAAGATGTATCTGTCAGATTGCACCATGAACTTGAAACTGTGGAGGAAAAGCGCGCTAAAGCTGAAGATGAAAATGAAACCCTCCGACAGCAAGTGATTGAAGTGGAAATATCCAAGCAGGCCCTCCAAAATGAACTGGAGAGATTGAAAGAGGTAATCTGGAAATGTACAGGGATTTCACCTTTGGATTTAGCTGTGAGGAACTTGGTATGTCAAGTGTCCTGTTTTCATGGTTTAGAGCAAGGGTGGGCAAACTACGGTCTGTATGCATGGCCTGGAAGTAAGAGTGGTTTTTACATTTTTTTGTGGCATTGTAAGACAGTCACCACCACCCAAAATCAACTTAAAAAAAGCAAGGAAGACACTGTGGCAGAGACTGTATGGTGCTTGTTAAGCCTAAAATATTTGCTGTCTTTTCCTTCACAGAAAAGGCTTGTTGAACCCTGGTCTAAAGCTATTTTAATAATTTCCATTAGGATGAGCTGGCCATTAATTTTTTAAATGTGTCCAAATGTTGTGTATTATTACTAGAATACAACATTAAGTGGTAGTTTTTTTCTTGAAAGTCTTCTCTTCCAACAAGCTGGACAATATGTTACGGTTGTTAAACAGATAATGTGTGTATGCTGCCTCTGTCTGTTATTCAGCCAATACGATTTAAATATACATTTGAAAAAATTTTTGGGAGTGACTGTGTCCTAGCAAAGTGGTTTAGAAAGTGAATATATATGAATATGTGTCTGTGTATGAATATATATACTCATTTGCATATAGTAATGCAAATCCCAATTTGTTGTTGACTTCTATAATAAGATTAAAACTGAGTATTTTCTTGGAAAATATATTATGTATTGATGAAATTAAAAACTGCTGTTGAAGGCTTTAAGATGATAATTAAAAAAAAGATGATTGTTAAAGCCAGTATATTACCTGCTAACAGCCTTACTTAGCAAACCTTCCATCCACTCAACTTAATGGAGGCCCTGTACTAGGTGCTAGGCATGCCGATATGAGTATGGCAGCACAGGCCCTGCTCTCACGGTGTTTACAGTTCAGTTTGGCACATGGATAACAAAACAAATTATATTAAGGACACAGTGCTGTGACCTGATCCCCCCCGACTCTCTCTCCTCACAGCTGTGCCAGACTTGAGCTTGCTGTCCCCTGAAACATTCCCCTCCTAGGGACCTGCACCGCTGTGGCTCACTCCCTCATCTGCTGGTCTCTGCTGATGGCTCACCTCCCCCAGCCTCCCCTCAACACTTACATCTTAAGTTGTCCCTGTCCATCCCTGTCAGCCTTCCCATCTTACATAGTAAGGATTTGGATAAATTATGTGTATATTGTCACTACTTATCTGAAAATGTTTTTTTTTTTTTTTGACCCCTCCTCCCTTCACTAATGCCGCCTCTAGAACTCGAGCTCTGTGGACTGGGGGATCTTGTTTTTTCCAGTTCACTGTGGTGTCTCTGCCTAGAACGGTGCCTGGCCCATAGGCATCATTGGGACTCATTGGGTAAAAGGGTAAAGGAGAGTGAGAAGGTGGCTCTGTGGTGACTACAGCTTGCCTGGGGGACTCGGTGAGCTTCACAGAGGAAGGGGTCGATGCTGACAATGTTCTTGCATTCTGGGTAACCCTTGCCCCTTACCTCACACACGTACTTACCTCATAAGTATGTGTGTGAATGGAGGAATTTTTCTTGTGATTGTCGATCTCTTATCTCTGTACTTACTTTTCCTAGAAGTTTGCTTTCCTCTTTTTCCTTTGGTCCAAGTTTACTAGAAAGTATGCCATAATGCTTTTTTATTTCCTCAAAACTTCTGGTTTGATCCTGACCTTGAGGATATAGAAAACAACTTAGAAGTTTATTTTATAAATGTTATGTATATATGTTTGTGTATAAATATATAAATTATATGCACATAGATAGATAAATAAATACCCATATTTTAAGCAAGCAAGAATTTTTTTGCACACATTTAAATGGGTTTGTGTAGGACTTGGCATCAGGTCATGAATAATAGCTCTTTGGGGAAAGAAATGATTACTGTTGCTCTTGCCATTCAAAGCCAGGCAGGTGTGAGGTAAGGATCTTCAGTGCCGTGGTGTTGGCTCAGGCTGGATATGAGGAGAGAAGGTAGAGGGGTCGTCCCCTCCCTTCCTTTGTGGGTGAAAGTTACTTAGAGAGGGATTGCTCAATGGGAACATAATAAGTATTTCATCTCCAGAATTGCAGTCAGACTGGTGGAGCTGCATTTTTTTTAAAGATTTTTATTTATTTATGTTTAAAGAGAAGGGAAGGGAGGAAGAATAAGAGGGAGAGAAACATCAATGTGTGAGAGAAACACTGGTTGTCTCTTGCATGCCCCCAACCAAAGACCTGGCCTTCAACCCAGGCATGTGTCCTGACAGGGATTCGAACCAGTGACATTTCAGTCTGTGGGATGACACCCAACTTACTGAGCTACATATTTATACCAAACTTCCGAACCAGTGATTTTCAACTGGTGTGCCACAAGAATTTTTAAAACATGCAATACCTGACTCTTTAGTTAGGAGCACTAACCTCTTTTCTCTTAGACTGTCAAATAAAAACAATAACAGCCAACATAACGATAGCCATTGGTGTGAATGCCCTGTCTTGAACCATAAATATAAAGGTCCTGTAATAGACTTGTATCTCAGTGGTCATGCCACATATGTTTGCATCTGATTGGATAATTTTTGGTACCAGAAATCCTTATATGCAGGGATAGGTTTTTAAAAGTCACTTTGGAGTAAAAAGAGTAGGTAATTCATTTTGGGGTTTGTTTTTTTTTTTTTGGTAAATCAATCAAAATTACACCTATTTGTTTTGTCAGATTGGGCAAAATGTATTTTTTGTCGTGCTGCAGAATTTTAGTAATTAGCTTATGTGTTTAATGAGATGAAAAAGGTTGAAAATCACTGTTTTAAATGAATCATAAAGCTGACAGGAGTCTGAGGAGGTCAGATGTTGGCAGACCGTGCTGGAAGCAGAGAATGATGGAGCCTAATGATAAGGTTTCAGACGTGGTGGAGGAGGCACTGGAGAATGCCAGCAGTGGTCTCAGTGAATGGGTTCTTTTTACAAAAACCAGAACAAAATACACTGTGAGTTTTGCTCTAGGGTGAGGATAATACTTCTTTTTTCCTCAGCTTTGCTCGATATTGTTCACCCCTGAAGTTTTGTAAATGGATGCATCACTTCTGAAAATGGCAAGGACAGTTCGTGCATGTCTCTACATGACAGAAGTAGTTGCAGATGTACATATGCCCCTCTTGGCTTCAGACAGCAAAACAGCACATCTTTGTGCCTCTTCAGCTCTTGTTTTGAGCTGCCTGGTGAACTTGTTCAAGATGATTTCTCCTAGCACTTCAAACTCATTGTATCAGAAACAGACATATCCTCCTCACCTCCACCCTCACCTCCTTCTCTCTTTCACAGTTGGGTTATTAGTGCCACTGTCCTTTTAGTCACCCAGGCTTAAGTGATTGTGATTGACCTTACTTCCCCTGCTCCCCATCCTTAATTACCTGCTGGTGCTTAAGGGCTAAGTAAAAGAAGTCAGACATAGTGTATGCTTTCATTTATTGCAAATATCCAGACTATGTAAATCCATAGAGTCAGGAAAAAGGTTAGTTGTTTTCAGGGCTTGAGGAGGGGGAGAATGGGGACTGACTGCTTAATGGGTATGGGGTTTCCCTTTAAGTAATGAAAATGTTTAGAACTAGATAGAGGTGATGGTTGCACAACACTGTAATTATACTAAATGTCACCAAATTTTACAGTTTATAATGGTTAATTTTAACATCAATTAAAACCTTACTTTCTCTGTTCTATCCATACATATCATCAGTGTCCTCTGAAATGAGTATTTGAGGGCTGACACTATGCAGTCACCACTTTCAAGCCATTTACTACTTCTAATCTCTCCTTTTCTGTTTTATTGTCTACATCCCCCCAAATCTGTGTTACTCTCTGCTTAAACCAAACAGACTTCCTGTGGTTCTCGATTTCAGGGGTGTCCAACCTTTTGGCATCTCTGGGCCACACTGGAAGAAGAAGAGTTGTCTTGGGCTACACATTAAATGCACAAACACTAATGAAAACTGATGAGCAAATAAAGGTCTGTGCATAATTTTCATGATATCCGCCACCACAGTAAGCAAAAATGTCCTCACATAATAATCCTAATTATGCAGTGGCCCTTTCAATAATCTTTTAAAATCGTCAAGCAGGTTGTGCCTTACTAATATAGAAAATGTATCTTAGTAATAAAACTTAGTTATAAAACTTAGTAATAAAACTAAGTAATGTTTTAAGTAAATTTACAGTTTTGTGTTGGGCCAAATTCACAGCCATCCTGGGCTGCATGCAGCCCAGAGGCCTCGGGCTGGACACTCCTGGTTAACTCATTAGCACAACCAGGGGACCTTTCCTGCCTGCCCCATCTCTGTCTCGCAGCTGGGTTTCCCATCCCACAACTATAACCCTGGAGTGAAATAAAAAGCAGTTGAGAAAGATTAGAAGAAACTATGCCCTCTAATCCTCTTTGAACTAATAGAGGGGTGTCTAGGACACAGTGATAGGTCAGATGATTAAAGAGGGCTGTGGTAGCAACCCATCTGAAATTGTCCCTTCCCGTTGCTTGCTTGCTTCCTGTGCCTAGCCTGTTCCTGCCATGGCCCCTGCACCCAAACACCCACACACTCCTCCACTTGGGTAAGCTCAAAAATTTTTGCCTTTTTTGGGGGGTGGGGTGGAATGGTATATATTTCTTCTAGTACTCAACTCTATGGTGGACTCTCTCAAAAGATTAAAAATTGTTAACCTTAGCTGAGTTTCAACTTCTCAAAGATTACCGGAATGCTTCTACTCAGGAACATTTCTTTGTACCAAAAAAAATTTATTTTTTCTACCAAAATTTTTTGAGTCTTATTACATGCTAGACACCAATAATAAATATCAACTTAGTTGGCACTTGCAAGGCACAGAGATTTGTTCTACATCACTCCAGGGAACTGGGGTTGGTGTTTTGTTTTATTCTTGTTGAGATGGAATTAATCTTAACATTATACTATACTTAACTATACTTAACATTATACATATTTCAGGTGTACAACATAATGA